CCTAATATCTAGAATCTATAAGGAATTCAAACAAATCAGCAAGGAAAAATAAATAATCCCATTAAAAAGTGGGAAAAGAAATGAATAGACATTTTTCAAAAGAGAAACAAATGGCCAAGAAGGATATGAAAAAATGCTGAACCTCACTAATCATTAGGGGAATGCAAATTAAAACCACCATGAGATACCACCGTACCCGTCAGAATGGCCATTATAAAAAAAGTCAAAAAACAATAGATGCTGGCCTGGTTACAGAGAGAAAGGAACACTTAGACACCATTGGTGGGAATATAAATTAGTACCTCTACGAAAAACAGTATGTATTTCTCAAAGAACTAAAAGTATATCTACTATTCGATCCAGCAATTCCACTACTGTGGATCTATCCAGAGGAAAACAAGTCATTTTATAAAACGGACACCTGTACCCATATGTTTATCATAGCAGAATTCACAATTGCAAAGATACGGAACCAGCATAAGTCCCCACCCACTGAGAAGTGGATAGAGGCAATGAGGTATATATACATCATGGACTACTACTAAGCCATCAAAAAGAATGAAATAATGTCTTTTGCAGCAATTTGGATAGAATTGAAAGCCATTATTCTAAGTGAAGAAGCCTAGGAACACACAACCAATTACCACATGTTCTCACTTACAAGTGGGAGCTAAGCAATGGGTAAGCATGGTCATACAGAGTGATTTAGTGGACACTGGAGATTCAGAGGGGGAGGTTGGGGTGCAGGATGAAAAATTACCTATTGGGGACAATGTACACTATTCGGGTGACAGGTATATTAAAAGCGCATACTTCTCCACTATGCAATGCAGCCATGTGACAAAAAAAACACTTGTACTCCCTAAATCTATTTAAATAAAAAGAAAAAGAAAGAAAAAAGGAAGAGAAAAATTATCCCCTCTATTGGAAAAGAATAAGAATAGACAATCCAATACAAGACAAAACCCTAATGATCAATAATTATATGAAAAGATGCTCAATTCACTAGAAATAAAAATATTAAAAACAGGTACTTTTACTTCCTAACTGTCACAACCTGTAAGTGACATGTGCCAGTTCTGCTCATAGTCCATTAGCCAGAATTCAAACATGGTCCCAATTCAACTGGAGGACAGGCTGGGAAAAGTGGGGAGCAACTCAGACATTAGACGAACACTAATGGGTACCTCTATGCACTTTATGCTTGACACTTTGAAATTATCTACATTAAAACTTTTAGGCCATTTTCACATATTTTAAGTTTTAAATATAAAGGTAATACTTATTACTTTCCTTTTAATATGCTTGAAGGGCAACTATATGGCGAAGTGCATACTGTCATTTAAAGAAACCTTTTGATCTCTGTGTTAAAAACAACACAATTTTGCTGAATAGTTGTGCTATCTGGGCAAGCATTTAACTTTTTAAAACCTTGTATCCTATAGAAAATGCATAATAATCCCTCATTCATGGGTATATTGCAAAAATAAGAGTGGAGATCATATATAAAAACACTGACATAGTGACCTGTGCATGGTTAAGTGCTTATTCAAATGTGAATTTTTATTTTCAATGGTATTTTGATATTGTAGTGGGATTCTACTTTGTCTAGAGTGATACAGGATCCTCTGAATCAGTGATATATTCCATAATCATTTGGAAGATAGGTGTACTCTTATGGGGACAAGTGATGTTTTGTCTAGGTTCAGAAATAAATGTTTTTATCATCTGTATGTTCTTGTAGGTTGTAGGGAATTTCAGAGTCATGCTCTCCCTGGAACCTCTTATATTTTGAGCCTTTGGTGGAGCACACAGAGTATTCTGAAATATGTCTGTAAAAAGCAAAAGCAGACCTTCTACCTTGTTCCAAAGCAGTATTCATCTAGCAGAAATTTTGGAAGGAACTGCATTAATTTGGCATGGCTTTAACCGGTGAGTGGACAATTTCTGTGTTCTGTTTTCTCCTTTTGGATATTTTACATACAAAGAAAATATCGCAATATAATGTCAAGGAATTGCCAAATGAATTATTAAATGAAAAATCTCTTAACACGTTCTAATTGTAATCTTCTCTCTGACATATAATAATTTGTTAGGAAGTGATACTTATGTTTATACAAAGGCCGTATTTATGAATTAGTACATAGTAATTAACTTGCCTACACAGTTAAGTAAATTTCCTTTTATAGAATTTTTGGAGGTTCTGAGATCATTTTATATCTATTGTTCTGATCCTGAAAGAAAGATACCTATCAGAAATCAAACACCATTTTTGCAAACAAAAGCAAAATAATAAAAGTGATTATGGAAACCACTTCAATAATCTC